CAGAGCAGGGCTCCTGTTCTCTCTTCCTGACTCCCTGCAGAGCTGCATGCTCCGGCCCTGTGCTCTGCAGGGTTTGGCTGATGGTGCCGGGGCCAGGCGCTGTGTGAGGGTTACCTTTGGCCCACGCAGGGGTGACCGGGGCAGATGTTCAGGTGGAGAACTGCACGGAGTTGTCTCCCAGTGTGTCACAGAGACCATTTCAGTGTTTTGGAGGTATCCTTTGCTGTTCTTCCTCTCCAAGCTAATATAAAATGCTTAGAAGTTTGACCATCGTGACTTCAGAGTCTTTGTTTACCAATAATGTAGTTAATTACTTATGTAACGTGTGCATGGTATTTTTCCTGGTTAACAGAGGAAGTAGAAGATTTGCTTGGCTGCAGAATATGCAGTGATCCGTAAGGAGAAATGCCACGTAGAAGTAAAGAACTTGTTATTTATTGTTTAGCTCTGAGGAACTAAGAGGTCTGCAAAAAGCAGCCAGATTGATTTCTATAGGAAATACGTCAGGAATTTCTTCGATTCAGTCTTCCATATATCTGATGAAGTGAGAAATGAATTACTTTTTATTTCAGTCACTTATTGCTGAATCACTGGGCTTTGACTCCCCCCCCCAAAAGGCCACACTTCTAAACTCTTATGACATACTGGAGATCTGAAGACCATTAGTTGTGTTGAAGACATGGCTTCCACAATTCTTTAAGTTAAGAAAACAACTTTCATAAATAAGGCACTTTAATCAGCACAGTATCAAAAATTGTTAATAAAGATAACATTACCTCCCTAGCAAGGGACATAACAGCACCACAACAAAACGTAACAGGATATTGGTGGGAAGGTTCAATCAGTACTGCCATCCCACCATCTGCCTCTGACATTGTGGGCCAGCAAAATAAAACAGGAGGCATTGCTTTTAGAGCACCACAGCTAGATCAGGTTGCCCAGGGCCAGGATCTGGGCATCTAAGCTAAATCCACTGTTACATAAAGCAGTAGAAGAGCTGAAGTTAATGGGAAACTTTTTAATGAGTGAGTCCAAATGATGCAATAGGGAACAGCTGTGTTGTTTTTTTTTCTTGACTTTCAAATGTGTGAGAGTTGGTTTTCTCAAAATGAGGCTTTTTTAAAGTGTAGTTACTGAGATACAGACAGTTGTGCTTCTGAGTATTTTTCTAGAGGACAGCAAGAATGCTGGTGTTTACAAGATGTTCTCTTATATAAATATTTTTGCTACTCTCTGTTGTTACTGAAACAAACAAACCAACCTGGCAGACCTGATTCATGCCTGGGGGAGGGTGTGTTTTGTGGATGTTGGTTTTGCAGCTCCTTTTTATAGCCTGGGCTCAGAAGGGAAATGGGAGGAGGGGTAGGATAGCGTGTGGGGAGAGAACCAAGAGGGCTGCAGGAAGTGAATGCCCACCCCACAGCTTCCCAAAAGGCTCAGCTGGACAGTGGCAGAGCAGTGGGGTTCTCTTTGTGCATCGACTTGGTCTTCCAGCCTGAGAGTGGGTATGCACGTGCTGTTCCCATCTCACAGCAGTGCTCTGGCAGTCCCACTGACACACATATCCACTCCTGCCTAAAGACCTTTTCTGTTTCCACAAAGGCTCAGCCAGTGCCAGCTTTCTGGCTTGCAGGCAGGTGCACCGTGCTTCAGAGCTTCACGGCACTGCTGCTTCATACTGGAGGTACAGAAATGGACTGCTGCAGGTTCCCATACGGTGAAAGGGCTCACGGTGCCGCATGGCGTGTTTGGTGGCTTCAGGTCAGCAGTCAGCTTCGTGCTCAGTACTCTGGGGATGTTCCTGTTTGGTGGCTTCTGGGTTGGCTTCTAATGAATGACTTGTTCCATTTTGGTTTTGTTTAATTGCAAAGCATCCAAACGGGATGAAAATTTTTATAGCACTCGGAGATATCAGAAAGGATGCCTTGTTTCTTCATTAGGAACAGCAGAGATACCAAATCTGTCCTGCTGCTGGAAGACAGCTCAGGGGAGTTGGTGTGGAGTTTTGAGATTCAGAGCTCCATCTTCTTTCTTTTTTATCTATCTTTAGAACTTTGTGGACTGTGCAAACTAACGGAGTGTTACATGAGACTAAACCCAGCTCTGAGCAGCCTGATTTACTGTCCCCTCCTTCACATTTCAGGTTAGTCTACATGAGAATGTGGTAATTACACAGCTATCATCCCATACTTACAGCCAACTTTTAGCTGCTTTATGGACAAAAGTGTGCTTTACTTGTACTTTACGCTTAGACTTGCATAAGGTGGCATGTACAGTCTTAGTGTAACTCAAGAGTGTCCTTTTGCTCAATTTACTTCTCTTTTAACTGGCACAACCTGAAATGGGGAAAAAAGCTGAATTATGCCTTAGGCTCCTGCAAAACCACTTCCACCAGAATTGGGAGCTTGGTTCTGCTCGCACTCACCTTGTGATTAAGCTGTAAAAGCAGCTGATGCAGATCTTAAGGGTTGCATGGGCAGACCTTGCCTTGGGGAAACTTGCTTGGGAATACAGGCTCACATGACCTGAGGTACGCAGTTGTGACCGGAAAGCCCGAGTTTTCAGCATGAGTCTGGCGGCAGATTCATCCTGCTGAGGATTGTGACCCAGGGCTGCATGTGGTGCCGTCAGTCCTTCCTAAAAGGTCTGCCCTGTTCTGGTCATTTCAGTAAGAATGATTCACTCCAGCGTGGGAATGTGATGTGGTTTCAGTATGATGCTTCCGAGAGCCTCAGGCTGTAAATCACAGAATCACAGAATGGCCAGGGTTGGAAGGGATCTCAAGGATGACCAATCTCCAACCTCCCTGCCACAGGCAGGGTCACCAACCTCCACATTTAATACCAGACCAGGCTGCCCAGGGCCCCGTCCAACCTGGCCTTGAACACCTCCAGGGGCAGAGCATAGGAAGGGTTTCATTTGCCTTTCTCCCACAATCTCCTTAGCTTGCAAACACATCTTCTTCTGGCAGATGTGACCTATGTTTTTAATAACTCTTAATCAGACAGGAATCTACAAGAAAGCCCACTGCCAAATAGAGGTGAGCTGTGAAATTCCTCACCAAACATTTGTTTATGTGTGCTGTCCAGCTGTAATTATGTTCTACAGAGGCATTCTGTGTATTTCCTACGTGGGCTGTAGCACTGAGGTATGTGACAGCAACCATTGTCAAAGAGAAGAAAGTGTGAAAGCTGTTGCATCCACGTCCTGTCTGCATGGTTATTGATCCCAAATGTTGCTGTCCCAATCATTTAATGAAACACTGGTGGACTGTACTGAGTAATATTGTAGGGGTGAATAGTTAAGAACAGCCTGAGCATAACTGCTTGCCCTGCTTGCCACAGCTGAGGTCTGCCCTAACAGTCATTTGTGTATTCTACCTGACATGCATCAGTTACATGTTACAACATACTGAATTTTCATTGAACAAAGTGGCAGTAAAGTTCCTTTTAATCCCATGAAACCTTTCCTAATCAGAAGCACTCTCACACTAAATACATAATTGATCTCTGCACTTGGTCAGTCGGATTCCTTGGCAGTTAGCACATGAAATAATGCACGCTTCAAGAAGATGGATACATCCAGTATAGCTATGAGAAGGGTCTTCCCCGTGCCTGAATAGCAGCATCAGGGAGATGCAGTTGTATTTGAGGACAAAAAACATTTACAGTGCACGATGCTTTCATTTTGCCAGGTTTGCTCTCTTAAAGAACTGGACTTGGGTGTAAATGTGTCGTTTTATCTCCTCCATTTCAAGCTTTCAGTCGCTCTTTGGATTTCTCCTTTGAACTGTGGTAGCTCCCCATGTGAGTGATGTCGGGCAGGAATCCTGGCACAGCCATTGCATGCACTTCAAGTGTTCGATCAGTGACTTCTGCCACCTCATTTCCTTCCTGTTAGCATTCTTCTGGCAGGGCCTTTTGTCATTATTGTACACAGAACTCTCCCTTGGCTCCTCCATCAGTGTCTTGGCTTGCCTGTCGCCTGCTGGTTTTTACAAAAAACAGAACAACCCAATGCCCTTGTGAGGATGAGAGAAGGTAGAAGGTGGAACCATCCTGATGTCTGTGGAAAAAGAATGCTTGTGAAATTTAGTGAGAAATTCAGTTGTAAAAATGGATGGTTTGCATCTGTATGACGACTTTACCCTTGCACATAAACTATTTGTTCTGTGAACGTAAATAACACTGAAGTGTTTTTGTCAGATGAAAAAACATATTTTGAAATAATGACAGAAAGTGAGTGTGCTCGAAACCAAATGGGAACTGCAGGTGCTCTCCTGCAGTGTCTGTGCTATGTACAGAAATTCTGTGCACATTCAGCTATTCCAGTTGCTAAAACTATTCCAATATCTCATAAGGAAACATCCCTTCGTATTTGCTGCACTTTCAGTTCCAAATACTTGCAGTGTGTTCCTCTGCCACTGACAGTGCTTCACACGGAGTGGCCTTTGCTATGCAGTCACATTCCCTGTGGCCTCAAACGTTTCCTCTGGGAGAATCACCACAGGAAGTACTTGGTGACTGCAGGCATACCAGTGGATAATACCAAAGGCCTGGAGATCTCAGGAGGCCTTTTCACATTTGTATTTCCTAATGAGTACCATATGATTAGAAATTCTCTCTCTATGTATGCTTTATTTTCTGAGCCTTTGATAAGATCCCTTGTAGCTCTTTTACTACACCCCAGCACCCATCCTGTCAGAGAATAACAAATCAGTGCTGCTGCTTAACTTGTGAATTTGCACTGATGCTAGAGTGGAGCTCAGTTGACGTGTGCCCTCTTTGGCAGCAGCAGGCTGGCCTCCAGCATGTACTGCTCTTGTTTGGTATGTTGGTTGCAAACTTCTGGGAGGTAGAAAACCTCCTCCTCTTGACCAGAAGTAAAGGAGATACAGGATATAAATCAGCAGGAAAGCAGAATGCGCTATGCCTCTTCTGTTGTATCTCTGAAAAATTATCATCTTTCTCAACTCCTGCTTTTGCAATTTTGTTTTGTAGGAATCTGAATTTCTCTGCCTGGAGTTTGATGAGGCCAGGGTGAGCCAGATGCTGAAGAAACTCTCAGAAATAGAGGACAGCATGACTGCATTGACTCAGACCACCTGACTCACAGAAAATAAAGAGATTGCAACTCAAAAAAACAAATGACCTCAGTACTTATTCATATTGCCTGTTCCTGTATATAAAATAGGTAATGATTGTTAAGTATCAGTTATAACTGTACAACACATTCAGAACAAAGGATGGGTGAAGTGAAGCTGTAAAGCTCTCTCCAGCCCCTCCTCCAGTCCTGTTCTCCAAGGCAGCAGTGATGTTGCTTGCATAAAGCTTTGCATAATCATCCCTTCGAGTTTAGAGTAGCTTTTCTCTTTTTTTTTTTTCCTACCTACCCATCAGTTTTTTACTGTTCCAGATGCTGTAAATGCTGCACCGAGTGAACAGCAAAGGTAAATTGGCCAGTTGTGGCAGGAGAGAAATGAGCAGAAGGAACAGACAGACTAGAGGGATTTGTGTTTATCCTTCCAAACCATGGGCTATGTAGGACAAATCTACCTACGCAAACTCTGCCTGCCTAGAGCTTGGAGCACAGGAGATGAAGTGCAGAGAGTTGAGGGAGAAGAGTCACAGACACACTTTTTTCTAATCACAAGCCTCTGTGCTGCTGAGGATGAAGTAAATGGTTCCCAAGCACGTGAGTTGTCCCTGCCGGGCCGCTGATGAACACTCACCCCACAGAGAGCCAGGGGGCGGCCATGGCAGCATCTCTTGGGCAGCTCAAGGTGACACTGGTTTCCCAAAAGCCTGATGTAGTGACCTGTTGGCAAGCTTCCAAAGCCACTTCTAGCCTGCTTCCCTGAAGGCTGGCCGCCCCCGTTAGCCTTCCAGCTCCTGAGCCTTACGTGGCACAGCCCTGGCGTGGTGCTGCATGCTGTGTTTGAGAGACCAGTACTTTGTCAGTGTGCAATTTAACTTGGCGGCTCTTTACCATGATGTTTGTCTTGACCTTGAAAACTCCCAGGCTAAACCCAGAGTTTGTAGTGTGGGTGTGCTCAGCTAGGAATCCTTAGAAGGAAAATGGCCTTGGCAAACGTGCAGATTATAAAGCTCTACTGATAAAATAGTTGTGTGAAGAAAACTTCCAAAGGCAGATAAGATACATACAGAGCATCATGATTGAAACTGAGCTGTGGCTTTTTTGGCTGTTGTGGGAACCTGCCTCTCTCCCTGGCCATAACACAGAACTGCAGTGCAGCCAGGGGGGAATGAGCTGAGATGTTTTGTTTCACATGTTTCAGTTCACAGGGGTTGTCCACTTTGCCACAACAGGAGCATTAACCATAATTCCTGCCTTCCCTGTGCAGGATGACATGGAGGAGCTGCATGGAGCATGATGGTTCCTACTGGAGAACTGCCTGATAGTCCGTAGAGTAGTGATGGAGCACAACCCTGTTGTGCTGCTCTTGTTACTAACAGGGAGGCATGCTCACACATTTGGTTGGAGGCTACGCTGTTTCTTCCTTTGCTTCATAAGCAAACTTCTCCTTAGCAAAAATCATATTGGCTGTCTGTACTAAGCTAGAGATGCTGTAACTAAATGCTCCTCGCTGATTCCCCATATGATTTTTTTGCTTGTAGAGTTGCCAGATTGTACTTGGAAGCACACACTCTTTTCAGAGCAAAGAAAGGGCACCTCTTCCCATCTCCCTGCTCAGGAGGTAAAGCATCACTCAAGCCGATTTGTGTCACTGCACTCGGAATTAACATTTGCTTTCCCATGCTTCTGCCCGACCCTTACAGCCACCTGCTTCTCCCCTCTTTTTGGAATGAGCACACAGCTCCAGCTCTTTACTTTCCCCATTTGGCTGCAGCTGATACTTGTCAGAGTGGAACAGGGGACTGCTGAGCATGGTCCTCACACCAGCCCCTGGATAATCAGAGGAGTGAAACGCTGAGTGGTTGCTGATTCTTTTGGATTTCTACTTGCCTCTTCTCAATGTTCATTTAATTATTTTTCCGCATTTTAGCACATGCAAAAAAAAAAAAAAAAAGTCAAGGTCAGGGAAGGATCGTGATCTTAAGTAACTTGCACTGTGTCAAACATACTTATTGTTTTATTTCAACATGGTCAGAGGATAGGAAAATGTGCTATAAATGGAAATTAAAGAGAAACAAACTGGGAACAGATGTCAGGAAGTATTATTTCATACAGAGAATAATAAATACGTGAAATGGCTAACCAGGCAAGGCAAGGCAAGGAGGCTGAGGCAAAAAAAGATGGGGCCATTGAGGAAATGATTGGACACTTTCCTAGTAGTGGTAAGATGTTTAAATTGAATCCTTCTCATTTTCTTCTTGGTGGATCTTAGTAAACTGCCAGGCAAAAACTAGAAAAAAAAAGCTTAATATTTTTGGGACCACACTGCTCAACCCTTGGTAAGGACACAGAGTCACTGGACAGCAAAATCGTTTCTGCTTCACAAGCTTTGACATGGGCAGGCAGAGGATGCTGTGCTTTCTCAGACTGAGCAAGGAGAACAGATTTCCCCCTTGAGCAGGACTGTGCCTGCTTTCGTCTGAGAGTGGTGGAGGAGAAGAGGCTTCAGATGCAGCTCTGCTATGCTTCCTTGAGTGAAGGACCACTTGGCTCTTTGTTGGGATGCATGGGCTATTAGCCTGCTATCAGTGATCCTACTAAACATACTGAATGTACTAAATACAAAGCCACATGCAAGGCTGTCTTGTACCTGGGTCGTGGCAACCCCTGCTATCAGTACAAGCTGGGGATGTAAGGATGGAGCACAGCCCTGCTGAAAAGAACCTGGAGTGCTGGTGGATGGCAAGCAATGTGCCCTCACAGCCCAGAAAGCCAACCAGATCCTGGGCTGCATGCAAAGCAGTGTGGGCAGCAAGATGAGGGGGGTGATCCTGCCCTTCTGCTCTGTGCTGTGAGACCTCAGCTGCAGAGCTGCGTCCAGATGGGGAGTCCTCAGCACAGGAGAGACACTGACCTGTTGGAGTGCATCCAGAAGAGGGACACAAAAATGTGTCCCCTACAAGAACAGGCTGAAAGAGCTGGAGCTGTGCAGCCTGGAGAAGAGAGAAAAGGCTCCAGGTAGACCTGAGAGCGGCCTTTCAGTATCTAAAGGGGGGCTGTAGGAAGGAAGGGGACAGCCTCTTCACCAGGGCCTGTGTGATAGGACAAGGGGAAATGGTTTCCAACTAAAAGAGAAGAGTTGGACTGGATACAAAGAAGTTGTTTTTACAATAAGGATGGTGTGGCAGGTTGCCCAGAGAGGTGATGATGCCCCATCCCTGAAGACACCTGAGGTCAGGCTAGATGGGGCTCTGAGCACCTCATGGAGCTATGGGTGTCCCTGTTCATTGCAGGAGGGTTGGTCTACATGGCCTTTAAAGTCCCTTCCAATTCAAATAATTCCGTGTTTCTGTTATCTTTGCAGTGGTGGCAGTGAAAGCTGGCCACCAGCCCTGTTTCCTGCCCTGTGGCTGCCACTCCTGCCCTCCACAACATGCTCAGTAGTTGGGGATAGAGGTCTCCAGCCATACAAAGCTCTGGATGAATTTATCCAGGAAACCTTCCCCCTCACTGTGAATGAAATCAGCATTGCCTCTGCCCAGAGCAGTCAGTCAGGCCTGTTTCTGCCGGTGCTTTCCTACTGACGCAGGTGATGACTCCCAAAAATCATGGTGGATTCACCCCACAGCAAACAAGAGCGGGATGGGGCTGTGGCTGTAGCCCTGGCACCATGTATGACGACCTCAGATGTGCACCTCCAGAGATGCATCTCATCCCAACATCTGCTGCTTTCTGTGGCCTGTAATTAGTGAATGGCGGCCGTGTGTTGTCACAACCTTCACCTTGTTCTTCCTTTGATGTCACCTTTTGCATTGCTAATATGCCTTGCAGTTGATTCAGTCAATCACTTCTTGTTTTCTGGGAATTCCTCCAAGTTGCCACTTGTTTATGATCTGGTGCTCCCCACATTATCTCCCAGTGCCATCACCTTCAGTCACACATTGCACAATGTGCAAGGCTTACATTTGCTATCTGGTTGCAAAAAGGTTTCTCTGGATGCAATTGTCTTTTTTTTTTTAATTTGAGTCCATGTATTCCCAGAATTGCTTAATTTATAGAACATTTTTCTGGGCATTTTGAGAGATTTGAGAGATTTTCATTTCTGTACACCGGTCCTTTATATACTTTGTTACCTATCAATAAAATCAATCACCATCTTTCTGAGTATGCTTCTTCGTTTATGTATTGACTGAACATCTGTGGATGTGTAAGTCTCTGAGAAGCTTCACCTGACGACTCAGCTTGCTCCACATTGGTGGAGGAAATGTTTTCTTCCCCTCCTGGGGAATTTGAATGGTTCATTTATTCCAGATATTCATTTATTCCAAATATTTACAGAAAGGTGCTCAGTCAGTGCTGGGTACAGACAGTGCCTTTTTAAGACAGCCTGGCCAGGGAGGCACAGAGTCCTTTGCAGCAGCCACTGATGACTGTTTGTGGCACTTTTCATGTGGTTTGTATCTGGAAAATAGATGACAACTCACTGCTGTGGAACCAGGTCTGTCAAAATCCCAGGGCTCAGGGTGCTGTTCAGCAAACACGGAGACCAGGCTGCCAGCTACAAGCTTTGCCTCCCCAAGAAATTGAGGGGTTGAGGGAGCCCCTGCACCACAACTGTCCTGGCTGTAACTTCCTCCTAGTGTAGGCATTCTTGGGAAAGAAAACAAATTGAGAAATGAGAACTGAGGAACCAAGCTGCAAAAGAAAACCTCCTGTTAAGAGGTAAGTCTGGAGATTTGTGGGTGCTGGAAGGCGGTCTAAAAAACTGGGGGAAAGCCATCTTGTGTCCTTGTCCTCAGCAGAGTCCTGGGGGAAGTTTTCCCTGTGATCAAAACCCCAAACGCCTTGTCCTTCCTCCTTGATTTTAGTGGTAGCAAAGATCTTGAAATGCGAGAAATTGCAGGAAAATAGGTTTAAAAGGATGTCAGGAGAGCCTGCCTGGAGCATCCTGCAGGTAGCTGTTAACTTTACTGAAGCAAGCAAAGCATGCCTGGGGCTGCCTCCATGGGGAGACCACCATAATGCTGAGCTGCTCCACAGCCAGAGGACA